CTCTTTACTGATAGAATACTGCAACATGACTCAGTCATAGTCTGGAAACGGTAAAATCACACAGTTACTTCAAGCTTATTTCCAATACGGATTCGCAAAAAAGATATGTCTGAAAAAATAATATGCTCTTAATAGAAGAACTGTAGTCACTCTTAGGTTACATAGAATGAGGACAACTATTAGCTGAATTTTCCTACATTGATAAGACTAGGCCTCATGTCTCCATTAATTTTCACCCAGACTTTCCACCTAAAGGTATTCTTATTTAGGACGGACTGAAGTTTTAACTTGGTCCTTAAAGTCATATCTGTCCTATCACCCATTGACGCCTGTTGCTGTATGACCTTGTTCTGGTGTGTTGTAATTTACGATTTCGAATCTTTTTGGGAGGTTCTGATGAGACACAGACGAGAAAAAAACTGCCGTCCAGCCTGGATGTTAATACCTTTTAGGAAGCAAGTCTAAATTAAATTCATTGGAATTGTGAGAAAATTCACTTTTCGGTTCTTCATCTCCTTATACGACCTAGAATGATTAAGTTTTTATTCAAGATCATTTGACTATCGAAACCTACTCATTATGGGAAGAATTCACATTCTTTTAAAGAAGGCCGTTGGGAGGGAATTTCGTGTGCTCAAGACGTCTTCTCTTACTATAGAAGCATTGCCTTCTTTTTTTCATTATTAAATAATTTTTTAAGGTTACTTGTAGATCCTTTATATGAAATATATTCACTCTCTTTGGCTGAGAGAATCAGAGACTGGTAGTCAAATTTTCCCACAATCATATAAATACACCGTACATTTTCATTAAATGTTATATACGTTTGCTTCCCAAAAGGTATTCTCATCCAGGCTGGGCTGAATTGCAATTTAGAATTTGCCCAAATCTCATCGGCGCCCCCAGCGGGACTCGAACAGAGATAGTGCAGCGTACAGTCTTGACCCGTGACTCACGACCCGACAATGCCACGAGTGTCCTTGGGTCACAGGGCAGATGTGCATTTCAAGGAATGCCAGGAATTTTCCCATATTACCTGTGGTCGGATTGTCGATGAAGCAAAGTTGTATTGGCTTCACCAATCGACTAGATTACTTATTTTTCGTTTATAAGATGAGAAGACCTTTTGGGAAGCAAGGCTATGTGAAATGAAATGGAAACCTAAGGTATGATTATATAATTGTGGTAAAATTCAACTACCAGTCCATCGTCATCTCAACGAAATAGATTGACTATATGTCATATATATGCTCTACTGGTAGTCTCGAAAACCTTATAAACGAATAATAAGTAATGCATAAGTAATGAATAATAAGCAGATACAACTACGTCGTCGACTTCTCCAACACGGAATGCGAGATGAGAAAATGCCTGGCGTTCCTGCCATATTTGTGGCAGTGTCGCGTGTTGGTCAGTGTGTCTTATTATACGCTACACTACCATAATCCGGGTTCAAGTTCCGCTGGTGGTACTGATGAGAGATACTTAGGTGGGGTCGAAACCGCAGTCCACTCTTGCCTCAATACTAATAACTTTTGGAAGCAAGGCCATGTGAAATGCAATGGGAACGTAAAGTCAACTGATATCATTGTGGGGAAATAGAGTCGAGACATCACATATATATTTCGTATAAGTAGAGTTTCGAGATCCCCATCCTTGACAAGTGGATTTACTCTCCAATTTGGAGTGTCGCATTAGCCGAATTCTTCCTCCTGGCTATCTGTATTGTTGGACCCTGGACCTAAGATAGGAGGCAAGCTCTGCTCTGAAACAGAATCGCCTGGCTCCGATGTATTAGCAACGAAATGGGGGTCGCTTGAGGAGTGAAGTTGGAAGCGGGTCTGTGACGTGGAGCATTTTATAGGGTATATGTATTTCCGTTTAACGCCTAGTTTCAGCAACTTTTTACGGGGCAATACTGTTCTGGGACAACTTCTTGCACTTGGAACTGTAGAATATTCTGATGCATCTTGCTTCTAAACAGTTCGGAAAAAGGGACATTTGGAGCCATTCTGCTAATGTAGCCAAATTATCTACTTGAATCTGGCCTTTATGGGAACTTTGCTTCATATTCAGGCCATAATCTTCTTATCCTGCATTTTAGGTGGTTACTAGGACGCCTTAATTGAGCTTCTGTATAGGCTTATGAGCTATTCTTTCCCACGTCACAACGAAACGGGGCACTATGACCGAGGAAGTCGCTGGCAGCAGGGATTATTTTTGTCTTGATTACAGGGTTTACTTCGATGAGTGTAAGCCATACTACATACTCCACCATTGTTGTGTTTTCTTAAAATGTCAGGCCTTTGTCTAGGTACCTTTATAGATATTTCGCGGGCAGCGAAGTCTGCCCAGTAACTGATCCAGGTCATTCTCAGCACAGAGCTACGACTTTCGAGGCCTACGAGTTAAGAGTCGTCTATACGCTTGCTACACAAAGTAGGTTTATAGTAGACCTATCTCTCTTCGTTATATCCACACAAATTGATAAATTTCACAATTGTTTATGCAAAGACCATGATGATCTCGATTTGTGGGCACAGGAACCCTTCTTTGCTTAGACTTACCTTGGCCTCGATGATTGAATTAATTGGGGTTAAACGAATACGAAATATTTCTGTAAATACGGCCAATTTTAGGCTCCAGGTTCCGGCGCATTTACTTCTAAGACAATATTTCACAACTTGGAACTGGGAGCTGTTAGTATTCCTGCTTTGGACT